TCCCTCAGCCCCAGTGAATTATTCTAAACTTAGAGGGTGATCCAGGGGAGGTGATGCTTGGAGGCACGTGTTGCGTTGGCTGGAAGTTTGAAGGCTGGAGTGGGAACGATCATTAGTGGTAAGATTGCCTGTTCTAGCAGGAAGAGATATTCTGGGGACAGCCTTGTCAGCACATCTCATCCCACGGCTCATCCCAAACTCCCATATTGTTGTTTTTGAATCAGATTTGAATGCCCTTCTCTCATGCCTGCCTCTCACTGATCTCTGCCCTTCACCCTGTACCGGCATAATTCCTGTGTTTCTAGCCCTTCTCACCTCCTTGTCACACCAAAGATGACTTCTCCATACATTACTTTCACCTCCTCCTTCCTGCCTGTTGTCTTGCCTTTTACCTTTTGTAACACCCCCAAGATGTTTCTCCAGCCCTTGTCACCCTGCATCTCTTGGTGCCTCATCCCGCTTTCCTCTTTATGGGCTCCTTATGGCGCAACGGTACGTCTGTAGACCTGCTGTGGATTATGCCTCACCATATGGAACAAGGCATACCTTATTGCATACCTCATTCCATACTACGCATTCCACTACTCACTCATCATTCTGCTGCTCCCACACCATGAGTTCCTCGCACTCTCATCTTTGCTCTTTACTCATCCCTTCCCAGCACTTACTCCCATAATGATCCTCTTGAGCTCAGAGGGACACAGTGAGGGTGCCACACAGCAGAATGTACTTACAGGTGGAGTGTAGGGATACAGTGAAGGGGCACTACTACAATTGCCTCTTCCTTCAGCAGGTAAGATAATTCAGTGCTGAGTTGTGGTGACACACAGCCTCAGAGGCTAGGAGGGCAAGCTGTAAGCATCACTTCATGTGCAACACACATTGAGATGAGATGTTCACAAGGTGCAAGTCTTCATGTCCAGCAAAACATTCAGTTCCATCTCTTCTGGAGCATCATTCCCTTTACCTATGTTGCCGTGCGCCGCCTTAGAATACCAACGGGGAAGGATGAGTGTGATGGAATGGAAGCATGCATGTCCTCTAAACATTTCCTATACATAGATGGCCCCACTTCCTTATGATTCAACCCTGTCTGTCTCCAATTCCATCACATGCGTAATGCTTTACGACAAACCCTATCTGAAATGAAGCCCTGAATGTCATTGCATCCTTGTGCTTGCTAGCTTTATGGTGTGATGAATATATCCTTAGTTAGATTGTACAATATGTATACATAGGTAGTGTCAAATGCTCTTGTAGTCATTGCTTTGATAGTTAGGTGATAAATAATTTTGTTAGTTACTCAGGAACCAATCATAATGGAGTATATTTTAAACCTACCAGCACCCTTTGAGCAAGGAGCTGCCATCACTTTCATGCCTCCTTCCTAGCACAACACGCATGCATACATCCCTACTACACTCCCCTTTATACACGACCCAAATGTAGGCCACTCTAGCTGTACAAAGAAAATGCCATTTTAAACCAGCTTGGACACTCCTCCATGTTCTCCCCTCATTCTCCACAACCCTTGCCTCCACGCCTCTTCCAGTATCACCAGCAGTCACTCTTAACTCTCCCCTAATGCTGTAAACCCCCCAATCCCCCCTCCCCTCCCCCTCCCCTCCCCCTCCATCACTCTCTCCCGCCCTATCTGCCTATCCACTTCCACACATCCTCATCGTTGACCATATTCCCATTTGGCAGCTAGAGAGTTCTCAGCTTGGTCAGGGCAATCAGCTTCTGCAGCCCATCATCCGTGACTGCTATGCCATGCAGCCAAAGTTTCTCTATCCCTATCAGCCTCCCCACATGCACCATGCCAGCATTTGTCACACCCTTGCACTTAGAGAGCCTTAAAATCTTGAGAGAGGAAAAGTGTGCAAAGTGCAGCAGACCCTCGTCTGTCACCTTGGTACAATGGAGATAAAAGGGCTTTAGCCCGACAATGGCAACAATGGCCCCAATGCCTTCCAAGGCACTGTCACAGAGGTCTGTGTTATTGAGATCCAGCTTCTCCAGCCATGGCAGCCTGTAGAGGTGCTTGATGCCCTCTGCACTGAAACCTGAGCTAGAGTCCAAGTCAATGCTCTTCAGATGGGTCATTGTGGACACATGGGCGAGCATGGTGTCTAAGAGGCCGTGGAGATCCGTCAGGCCCAGCTTGGTTCCTTGTGATGTTGCCTTGATTCGCTGGAGGTGATGGATGAAGAGGGCAAGAGGAATGGCCATGCATGTAATAGCCCAAGTTGGAATAGATGCACGACCAAAAAAGCATTAAGTGGCCAGACGCGATCATCAGGCGCAGGATGCTACAAGCAGCTATGAAGTTTTGGGCTTTTTCTCAGGCAGCCTTGGAACAAAAGAACAACGCATGGCTTGCCAAACAATGCATACCGTATCTTGTGAAACCGATTAACTCAGCACTCACCTGCCATGAAAACTGATTCATGAGCTGCCACTCCTTGCAGATTGCCAACAATGACACGCGCCCAATGAATGCATTGTCACAATACAAAACGATAAACGCACTAAAAACAGTTCGCTTGACACTCACCTCCCATACAGTCTTCTGAGGGCCTTTACTCTCGATAATCTCCAGCTCAACATTCACCCAAGCCTTGCAGGCTGCCAAGTCCTCCATGGCACATGGCCATATCAACTCCTGCACCTCCCTCCTCCTCTCCTCCCTCTCCCTTGACAACTCTGCCCTCATTTTATCCTCTCCCTTTCTAACCTGCTCCCTCAGCTCTCTCAACTTGTTTTCCCTTTTTCTCTCAGCCAAATCCATCTGCTCGGCAATAGCGTCTGTGTATTCAGTCAGCTTTGTCTTCACTGCCGCCAACTCTGCTGCCAGCTCTCTCTCCCTCTCCTCCACCTGCCCTCTCATCTCCCTCATCTCCGCCACTCGTCTCCTCTCAGCCTCCTCCAGCTGCGATGTACTTGAATGCTTGTGCTCACCCAACTCTCCTTTTGCTGTTGCCAATTCCCTCTTCACTGCAGCCAACTTTCCTTCAATGTTGCCAGCTCACTCCTCTCGCCCACAATACTCAGTGCAAGCCTCAACTCATTTCCCAAACCTTCATTTCTCTTCTCCAACATCAATGAAAACTCCCCTCTCACCAATGAAAACAGCCCTTTCACTGCTTCAGCTAACTCGTTTGACTCCCCATCTACAGCCATTTGTGTTGCTTGAGGTCAGCCAGAGTCTTCTTCGCTTACCACGGAAGAGGATGGCACTGTGGCATGTCAAAATTGGGTGGAGGTGGACAGATGGAGGTGAACAGGGACTCACGTATGAAAAGAAGGAACAAGAGCGCCATCCAGTCCAAAATAGACATGAGCAAGCGGTGGAGTGAAAGCTGACTATATCCTTCTTTTACTCAAAGCGGTTGAGACTAAGGCCTCGCCTCAACCGTATTACTCAACCAAGTAGTCATCGTCTTATCAAGAATACTTGACTGAAGCGAGGCGAGTAATGCTTGTCGAATAGACAAACGGTCGCTCATTATTCGTCAGAAAAGGGTTGGGGAAGAGTCACTTGCGAGTAAGCTTTCCTGGTGATTTGACCCCTTGGACGATTTGCCAGAGGAGGACGTGTTCGGATGAAGTGGGTTGGTTTCTCGGGGTGATATGCAGGTGGGGCAGATTGTGGGTCTCCAGGCGTGGGTGGGAGGGGTTCATATTTCGGTGATGTGGGGTGGGTTTTGGCAAGAATGTCGGGTGCGAGGAGAGTGTCGCCTGCCTCGTCCTGTGCAATAAAATCTGACCCACACAGTGAGGCAGAGGAGGAAAAGTGCTAGATGCAAGTAATACTCACATAACACCTCTTTTAGCAGAACAAGGCACCCCAAAATGAGGGGATTATCTCTGGTCCCGATCAATGCTCGTATCTAAGCTAGTTCAAATCTACGTCCAATACGAGCGAGACACAAGCAGTGAGCGAATCTGCATCCAAGCACCACAAGATTGAGGTGGGAGCTCTATTAGAAGCTGTGCCAGCTCGCATTTCCATTAGTACCGTCAAGCAACCTGCCTTACGTTGTTTCTTCCTATCATCTAACAATTAGTTTTATGTTGTTCGTACTATCTTAGAATGGCCAAGCAATCGGCTTCAGCTTGTAGTGATTCTTGCCGAATGTCTTCCTAGCAACTAAACTACGAGGAATTTTGACCTACATGCGCACATTACCAGGTCGAGTCCACCTCAACCCGCAAGTTGACTCAAGTCAGGACTAACCCGACTCGAGTCGACTCACTCGCACTGCGCACATGTCTAAGCGAGCTCAATCACAGGCAAGGTCAGTCATTAGGCTAGAAGAGCTAGCTATAGGATAGGTTAGTGACATGCTAGGCCAGTCAAGAGCTAGGTCCATCACATGATGGGTCACTTGTAGATTATGTAAGCTGGAGCCTCAGTCAAAGGCTAGGTTAGTCAAAGGCTAGGTTAGTCAAAGCTAAGTTAGTCAAAGGCTAGGTCACTCAAAGGCTAGGTCAGTCAAAGGCTAGGTCAGTCAAAGGTTAGGTCAGTCAAAGGCTAGGTCAGTCAAAGGCTAGATTAGTCAAAGGCTAGGTCAGTCATCAGTTAAAGGCTAGGTCCGATGAGAGCTAGGTTAGTCAAAGGCTAGGTCAGTCAAAGGCTAGATCAGTCAAAGGCTAGGTCAGTCAAAGGCTAGGTAAGTCAAAGGCTAGGTCAGTCAAAGGCTAGGCAAGTCAAAGGCTAGGTCACTCAAAGGGTAGGTCGGTCATCAGTCAAAGGCTAGGTCAGGCAAAGGCTAGGTCAGTCAAAGGCTAGTCAGTCAAAGGCTAAGTCAATCAACGGCTAGGTCAGTCAAAGGCTAGGTCCGTCAAAGGCTAGGTCAGTCACACAATCTAAGACCAATGAGAGGCTAGGTCACTAACTGTGAAACTAACTGAACAGGAATGAATTGACTAAGTCAGAGTTGGGTACAAATACAACCCTAGCAAACTGTACCCCATATGTGCTACCCCACTATAGCCTACAAACATGCATCAGCTATAATAATCTGACACACCCCCATAGGCAAAGTGGGGGAGAACAAGGGGTCACAAGACCAGTCAAGCAAAGCAAAGCAAGCTCAGGGTGGATCACAAAGTCACCACACAGTCCGAGCACAAGAGCAAGGCCAGAGGCCAGTTCACATGCAGGAGTACAGACATATATAAAACTAGACAAGCAAGAGCAGGTATATATATGTCAAAGTACAAGTAAAGTCAAGAAGAGAGCAAGTGAGGCAAGACAGGTACAAGACCCAGCTGGGTACAAAAGCGCTGATGGTCGCAAGGCGCAAGTGCCTTGGTGAACACATCAGCAGTGTTGGCCTCAGAGGCCACGTAAGCAAGTCGCAACTGACCACGCTGCTGCAGCTCACGAGCAAGGAAGTAGCGGAGAGCAATGTGCTTCGTTCTGTGCTCCAAGCGCTGCTCTCGACACAAGGCCAACATGGCCTTGTTGTCTACGTACAGCACTGGAGGAGAACGAGGCAGCTCTCCAAGGTCAGTCAGCAGGTAGGTGAGCCAGCGAAGCTCCTGTGCAGCCATGGCCCCGGCGTAGATCTCAGCCTCACAACTGGAGCCGAGAACCGAAGACGAGCGAGTAGACCGCCACGAGACAGAGCCGGAACCAAGGCTGAAGGTGTAACCCTGTGACGACCGCTGCGTAGCCTGGTCGTCAGCCCAAGAAGAGTCTGCGTGCCCAGTAAGGACCACTGGACTCCGCCCTCCAAGCACTAGCCCCATGCCCGACGTACTGCACAGGTAGCGCAATACCCTCTTCGCTGCAGCCATGTGCTCTGGTCGGTGTCTCCCAGGAGCAACATAGCGTGCAAGGATGCTCAGAGGGTATGCAAGGTCAGGTCGTGTGCAGGTCATCAGGTACATGAGGCAGCCAACAAGCTCTGCATACGGACCACTCGACTCTACGGACTCATCCGAAGGAAGAGCTGAGAGTGAGTGGCGAGTAGGCAGAGGAGTGGCCTGAGGCGAGGAGTACGTGAAGCCGAAGCGCTGAAGGACCTGCTGCACCATGTGTGACTGAGTCAGGGTAATGGTGCGGCGTGCTCTGTCCCGAGTGATCTGCAAGCCAAGGTAGCTGCGCAGTTCACCCAGGTCAGTGCACGTGTGTCTCTTCAGCAGCTCGGACTTCACGTAAGCGAGTCCAGCAGTGTCCGCTGTGGCAAAGACCAAGTCGTCGACGTACACGAGGATGTAGAACGGCGGCAGGGAAGTGTCGGTGCGAAGAAACAGCGACGGGTCAGCAGTAGAAGGAGCAAACCCAAGAGCCGCAAGCGTAGTCCTCAGTGTGTCGTGCCACTCACGCGGTGCCTGGCGGAGACCGTAGACTGGCCGTCGGAGGCTCCACTGGGTGCCAGGAGGGAAAGTCCCAGTGAAGCCAGGCGGACGGCGCAGCCAGATCTCCTCGTGCACGCTACCCTGCAGGAACGCAGTGCTGAAGTCGAGAGAGTGAAGCTCGTAGTCGCGCTGAGCGGCAATGTGCAGCAGCACCCGAAGAGTGGTCATCTTCGGGGTGGGAGAGAAGGTCTGAAAGTAGTCAACTCCCTGCCGCTGACTGAAGCCACGAGCCACGTAACGCGCCTTGAAGACAGGCGGCGAGCCCGGCGGCCGCTTCACCCTGAAGATCCACATGCCACTGACGATGTTCGCCCCAGGAGGGGGAACCGCGTCAACGTAGGTGCCTGTGGACTTCCAGGAAGCCATCTCTGCATCCATAGCTGCCTGCCACTGAGAGGAGTAGGGACCCTCTACGGCCTCCGCGTAAGAACGCGGAGTCGAGATGTCTAGTGCATCCGGGTCTCCCTCAGGGGCTAGCAGTACAGACGCGAGACGAGGTGAAGCAGCGGCTAGACACTGGAACTCCTCCTGCCTGTCCTCTAGGACGTCCGTGCCAAGGGCACACTCACCCCCGACGGACGGAGGACAGGCGGACTCAGACTCAGCGACAAGACGAGCAGCGTAGTCTAGACGACAGCGCGCAGCAAAGTCGACAAGCTCAGTGACAAGGGCAGACGCAGCAGACGACTCGAAGGAAGGGTCAGTGACAGCAGTAGCAAGGAGACGCGTGACAGTAGGACTGGCAGCACGAAGAGAGTCCGACTCCGGGTCGGCAAGAGCAGGAAGAGAGGAAGCAGGAGGAGAAGGCAAAGGGGCACGCAGAGGAGCAGTGGACGGACGCAGTGACATCCGGTGCGTCCCAGGGACAGGAGGAGGACGCTGACGCGACCCGCGACCACTAGCGCGCTCAGTACGAACAGGCGACGCAGGACGAGACGCAGGCTCACGACGCTCAGTAAGGCCTCCAGTCGGACCAGTGTAGGGAGAAGGAGCAGGCAAAGGGGAGGCAGGCTCTAGCTGTGGCTGTGACCGGGCAGGCTGCGGACCCTCTAAGGGAGGAGGAGGAGGAGCAAGACCAAGAACCTGCTCCAGGAGCGGAACGAAGTACGGTCGAGACCGCGCGGCGACGCCAGAAACAGCAGGAACAGAACCAGCAGCTCCGGCCGGAGCACCCACTCCAGCAGCACCTCCAGCAGAACCACCAGAAGCTCCAGAACCTCCAGCAGCAGCACCAGGAGCACCGTCAGTCGGACCACCAACCGCAGGCTCAGCGCCAACGTCCTCAGCAGGACCAGCTCCAGGAGAACCCTCAGACCCAGCAGCTCCAGCACCCACAGGACGAGCACCGCCAGGTCGCGTGGCAGCAGCGCCCTCCGCAGTCGAAGAACCACCAGAACCAGCGGCACGCCTCCAGCGCCGGGCAAACCACTCACGCAGCTCCTGTGGAGAGAGCGGCTCCCGGCGAGACGAAGCACCCCCAGGCACAGCACCTCCAGGCTCGGCACCTCCAGGCTCGGCACCTCCAGGCTCAGCACCCCCAGGCTCAGCACCCCCAGGCTCAGCACCCCCAGGCACAGCACCCCCAGGCACAGCACCCCCAGGCTCAGCACCCCCAGGCACAGCACCCCCAGGCACAGCACCCCCAGGCACAGCACCCCCAGGCACAGCACCCCCAAGCACAGCACCCCCAGGCTCAGCACCCCCAGGCTCAGCACCCCCAGACTCCGCACCCCTAGGCTCAGCATCCCCATGCTCAGCACCCCTAGACTCCGCACCCCCAGGCTCAGCTCCCGCAGCAGCACCAGAGTCACCAGTGACCTCGACAGGCTCGACCGCGTCTACCTGAGACACACCTGAAGGGGCAGGACCCTGAGGGGGGAGGGGGACCACTGGGGGGGGACCTGGTACCAAGAAGAGCGGGGGTGGGGGGAGGGACGGAGTGCGGTAGGGGAAGAGGCGGTAGTAGGGTACCGACTCGTCGAACGTGACGTCCTGGGAGGACAGAACACGTCGAGAGGTGGGGTGGTAAAACTGCCACCCAGGGGCGTCGGGGGGGAACCCGAGGAAGACGCAGGGAGAAGCACGAGGGGACAGCTTGTCCGCAGACAGGTCGCGAACAAACGCCCGAGATCCCCAGACCCGGAACGCCGACGCATCGCCAACCTTCCCCGTCCACAACAGAGCTGGGGAGGTCTCCGGTCGAGAGACCCTGGGGTGGAGGTTGATCTGGTGCGCAGCGTACCTGACCGCAAACGGCCACAGAAAATGGGGAGCAGCCGCATGCATCATGGACGTACGAGCGACGTCCATGACCATGCCAATGCGGCGCTCGGCGATCCCATTCTGCTGTGGTGAGTCCGGAAGCGTGAAGGTCTGACGGATGCCTCGCACACGACAGTAGGCACTCAGGAGGGCAGAGGAGAACTCTCCGCCTCTGTCCGAGTGCAGACGCAAGACAGGGAAGTCAGAGCCAAAGCTTCTCCGAAGCTGAAGACGAGCTGCGCGGATCCAGTCGATCAACACCTGAGTGACCTCACCCTTGCTGCGCAAGGGGAAGACTGTGGTGTAACGCGAGTAGTCGTCAACCACCAGCAGGAAGTAGCTCTCCTGACCCTGTCCACGGACGCGGGCTGGGCCCCACACGTCCATGTGAAGCGTCTGCAACGGGGCCTCTGTCGGAGGAAACTGGGAGGAGTGAGGGGCAGCACGCTGGCGCCCCTCGACACAGGGGACACAGGCAGGGCCAGGGCCCGGAGGAAGGGGAGGGAGGGACCGGGGAAGACCAGACACAAGGACCCGCGAGGCCATGCCTCTGAGCCGAAGCAGAGAGGGGTGGCCAAGGCGGTGGTGCCAGAGGAGGGTCTCGTGAGACAGACGACGACACGAACAAGGGGCAGACTCAGGACCAGACCTGGACGCTGCAGCAAACACCTGACCAGACGAAGGGGCCCTACCAGACGCAGTACCTGGAGGAGAAGCAGTGGTCAGTGTGTACAGGCTCGACCCCGGCCGACGTGTAAACGTGGCCAGGTGGCGACCCGTATCCGCCTCCGTACAGTGGGTCACCCGCTGACGAGCAGGGGTGAACTGGTGGACACCTGCATCCTGGAGGTCAGCACCACTCACCAAGTTCGTCGAGAACGAGGGGAGGTAGAGACCAGTCAGGGTGCCAGAGGGGGCCGCCGGACACGGGAGGACAGTGGAGAAGCGAGACAGGACAGGCCCCCCAGAGGGGTCCGCCAGGGACACCGCAACAGGCCGACTCAGCGGCGTGAGAGTGGTGCGGTCCCTAAAGAAGGAGCGAGACGCTCCAGAGTCAAGGGTGAAGGTGTGAGAGGCCGAAGCCGACACAGTACCTGAGAGGGCGGACTCACCAGTACCTGAAAGCACAGACGCACTGGCACCTAGAGCAGCAGCCTCACTAGTACCTGACGCGGCAGTACCAATGCCCGGGTCGGGCGGGAAACACTGGTAACAGTCATCCTCATCACTACCAGTCACAGCATACATAGCAGAGAGAATAGCATCAAAATCAAGATCATAAATAGCTACACCAGCCCTAGACAGCTCTCCCCAGCGGGGGATCTCAGCGGCCTCCGGAAACTGCTGACGCCAGGCGTCGGTCAGGCGGCCAAAGCAGCGACGGGCTGTGTGGGCGCCTCCACACCTCTCCCCTGCACGGTCACCAGTGCGAAGAACGTAGGGGCAGGGACCAAGCGCACCACCTCGCTGACGCTGCAAGTACCACTCACGGAGCTGCTGAGGGCCGGGGACGGTGCGAGAGCGCTGCTGCTGCTGCTGCTGCTGCTGTGGCTGCTGCTGCTGCTGCTGCTGGCGCTGACCACCCCCAGAGCTGCTCCGCTGGGACGAGCCACTCCGACCCCCTCCTCCACCGCCACCCCCGCCTCCACCGCCACCCCCGTCGCCACCGCCACCTCCCCCACCAGGACCGTCGCTCCCACCGCTCCCACCGCCTCCTCCGCTACCACCTCCGCCGCCACCTCCGCCTCCACCGCCGCCACTACTACCTCCACTCCCGCCACCACCCCCCCCGCCACCCCCACTCCCCCCTCCACCCCCACCGCCTCCTCCACCGCCCCCTCTGGCTCCACCCGCTCCCTTGCCCCCCTTGCCCTTGCCAGTGCGGCGTCTGCCACTGGGGGCAGACGCCGCGCCGACCGACTCAAAACCAGCGAGGTCGGCCGCAGCGGCAGAGGCGACAGAGGGCAGCAGGGGGGAGGGACCACACCCCTCAAAGATGGGGGTGCGAGGGTCACCCCGAGAGGCCCCTACAGCGACAATACTCTTCTCAGCCGCTAGCAGGGACTCCTCAAGGAGGTCGACAGTGAGAGTGGTGGGACAGACAGAGAGAAACTGGTCCCTAACGACACGAAGGGACTCAGGGAGACGGGTGACGAGAAAGTAGAGAGTGATGTACATGGGAGGAGGGTTCGCAGCGCGGAACTCAGCAGGAAGGGCAGCGCGGTAGCGGGTGTCACTAGCGCGGAGGTGGGTAACGAGGTCAGCGACAGTGGGAAAGGAAGCGAGGTCAGGGAAGAGAAACGGTAGCATGAGGCGGCTAAGGGTAGCGGAGGAAGGGGAGGAGTAGCGCGCAACTACAGCGTCGTACAAGGCCTGAGCGGTCTTGCACTGACTAAAGTGGGCACGCTCAGAGGAAGGGAGGTGGCGACGCACAGCAAGACGTGCAGCAGCATCGCGGGTCGCCCACTTGGAGCGAACGGCAGAGTCAGCATCAGCAGGCGGGGCAGGGACAGTGCCAGAGACAAAGTCAAAGAGAGAGACCTCATCTACCGCATCACACAGTAAGTACAGCTGCAGGTCCTCGATCCAGACGGCAAAGTCAATGGCCCTCCCCTCAGCGTCAAAAGTGAGAACATTGGGGGTGGCCATGGCAGCAGCTGAAAGTCTCACCAGGATGGGAGAGTCGGGTAGGTCAGCAGCAGGCGGCTCGGGCTGCTCGGGCGGCTCGGGCGGCTCGGGCGGCTCGGGCGTCTCGGGTACCGGGCGGCTCGGCTGCTGCTGGGCGGCTCGGCTGCTGCTCGGCGGTTCGGCTGCTGCTGGGCGGCTCGGCTGCTGCTGGGCGGCTCGACTGCGGCTGGGCGGCTCGGCTGCTGCTGGGCGGCTCGGCGGGGCCGTCAGGGTGCAGCTGCGGGGCCGGGACAGGGGACGGCGGGGCCGTCAGGGTGCAGTGGCGGGGCCGGGACGGGGGACGGCGGAGCCGTCAGGTGGCGGGCCAGCAGGCGAGGTGGCGAGCCGTCAGGTGAGGCGGCGGGGCCGTCAGGTCAGGTGGCGGGCCAGCAGGTGAGGCGGCGGGGCCGTCAGGTCAGGTGGCGGGCCAGCGGGTGAGGCGGCGGGCCGTCAGGTGAGGTGGCGGGCCAGCAGGTTAGGCGGCGGGCCGTCAGGTGAGGCGGCGGGGCCGTCAGGTCAGGTGGCGGGCCAGTAGGTGAGGCGGCGGGCCGTCAGGTGAGGCGGCGGGGCCGTCAGGTAAGGTGGCGGCGGGCCGTCAGGTGAGGCGGCGGGGCCGTCAGGTAAGGTGGCGGGCCAGCAGGTGAGACGGTGGGCCGTCAGGTGAGGCGGGGGGGGCCGTCTGGTGAGGTGGCGGGCCAGAAGTCGAGGCGGCGGGCCGTCAGGTGAGGCGGCGGCCGTCAGGTAAGGCGGCTGCGGGGCCGACAGAGGTGCAGCGGGGGGGGGGGCCTGCTGCAGCGACGAAGAGGCCGCGCGGCCGTCTTGAGGGCGGCGCGGCGCGGCAGAGCCGAGAGGGCGGCGCGGCGCGGCTGTAAGGGCCGCGCGAAGTGGGGCCTGAACCGCGCGCGCGAAAAAAAATGAGTCGCGCGCGCGACTCTCGGGGCGCCACAAGGGCAGCTCGACGCGCACTAGGGGGGAGCGCGCCTCGGGGAGAATAGGGCGCGCTCCGAGCAGGAAAAAAAATCGTGGGTGGGCCCAAAGAACGGTCCTTAGGAGGGACCCGCTCTATACCATGTGAAACTAACTGAACAGGAATGAATTGACTAAGTCAGAGTTGGGTACAAATACAACCCTAGCAAACTGTACCCCATATGTGCTACCCCACTATAGCCTACAAACATGCATCAGCTATAATAATCTGACACTAACATGATCAATCAGTCACAAGCTTTCGCAGTCACGACATAGGGTCAGAAATTGGTCCATCAAAATTTTGGTCAGGCACTGGATGGGTTAGTCACTGGCTAGGCCCCTCATAGAAGACATAACTAGCTCAGTCATAATTTGGAAAATCTGCTCAGCCATTGCATAACGTGTAAATGCATGCGCTTGCCATCGGATGGGCAATACGCCTGGAAATACACATTACACTCTGCAGAAATACTACACGCTGGTTAGAGGACAACATTATCTTACCCCACAAATTTGGCGTCAAAAGCAAAACACTTAACATTCCTATGGCACACTTCCTCCCCTGTTCATTGGCCACCTCACTCACCATACGGACCACCTTACTGCAGGCTGCAGCTACCTAACCAGCATCTCCTGTTCACACAAATCTGCTGCACACATTCTCCTGCAGCCATTCTCACAACAGCTACCCCTTTCCCTTCATCCGTGCACATATCTTGGCTGTATGCCCGTCAAATTAAGATTCAAATTCAATTCTCCTAGCCATAACTGAATCCCAAGCAAGCACCATATAGCAAATCTGTATTGTCATACATAATTTGGTATAAAGATCAACCGTAATTTACAAAATAGGTCACTCACAGACTATGTCTGACACAAGCTAGGTCAGTGGGGGGCTAGGCCAGTCACACGCAAGATCAGTCAGAGGCAAAGTTCGTCACTTAGAGACGGTCCAATCCAACAGCTAGGTCGGACAGCGACTATGATAGAGAGAGGTTAGGCTGGTCACAGGCCAAGTAAAAGGGTAGATCAGGCACAGAAAAGGTCATTCAGAGGCTACCCAAAGTCACAAGGTAGGTCAAGCACAAGCAGGATCAACAGAGGCCAGGACACTCGAAGGCTAGGCCAATAACAATGTAAGTCAGTCACAGGTTTGGTCAGACAGAGTTCCCATCCATCAGAGGCTAGGCCAGTCAAAGGGTAGGTCAGTCAGCCACAGGCTAAGACACTCACAGACTAGGTCAAGCACAAGGTAGGCTTGACACAAGTAAGTTTGGTGAAACGCTGCGATAGTAACAGGTGGGTCACTTACAGCTAGGACAGATACAGGCAGGGTTTAGTCATAGGCTGGGTCACTCACAATAGCCTAGGCCGATCCACGACAGGCCAGGTCAGCCGCATGCGAGGTTAGATACAAACAGCTAGTAGAGTTTTGTCTCGACTCGGCCGACTGAGGTGATCACTCGACTCGACTTTTTGTCAGTTGATCATTCATCGGCACTCGCCAATCTGGCGATTCTACACACCACGCCTGACTCATCTCTAGTCGACTAGGTTGTCACGGCCATTTCTCGCCCTTACCTGGGTCGAGCAACTTTCAGCTCAGAATCTGCATATTGGATTTTTCGAGATTCAAACTTGGCCTCATCTCGTTACTTTCTTGAAGCCAAGCTATCCGCTTGTTCGCTAGGTCGTATCTACCTTAGCACCTAACCATCAGCTTTAGGTCGTTCCTACCTCAACTCACGAGTTGATTGGTCAGTCAGGACCGAGTAGACTCTGAGTCGACTCGAGTTGCCTGTACACATGCCTAGATCAGTCACAGGCTGGATCAGCTGCCCCATAGATTAATCACAAGCTGAGGTGGGTCATAGGGTAGGTCGGCCAGGATAAATGACAGCGTGAGTGTATCAATGATGTCGAGGAAACGGAGCACGGGAAGGGGGCGGGGCAATGACTCGTTGTCGTGCTAAGAGGGACAAGAGTGCAACAAGGAGCTCTGCTGATTCATGGCGGTGAGCAGAAATCGTAGCGACTTGGTATGTAACCTAAAGTTGCACATTGGCCCCCTCTCATAAAATTACTAGCACCACAATCCATAGGCTGTGAACATCAGGCGGCAACGTTTATTATGACTCAAGTGAAGCCACTACTTAGATGTTGCGGTGTTTTTGTGTTATGCCAGATAATATATTTGAGCCATATGGTTTTGGAAGTTGTGGCAATTTGTAAACATCATGGTGCAAGAATTATGCTTTAGCGTTTCTAGTGTTTTCTTATATAAACATTGTATTAATGTCCTGTTTTAAATACAATGGAGCTTTAAGGCCAAACGCAAGAGAGGCAGTTGCAATGCAAGCAAACCCAGAGACGTCCCGAATCTGTCCGTGGGAGAGTCCTCAATGCTACAGGAAGAGAGGTCTCGAATGTGTCTCAAAAGTTTCTCGAAAGACACTTTCGGGTCAGTTGGGCGATCCACTTTCAGGACATTTCACTTACTCTCGAAAGTGTCTTTCGAGACACTTTTCAATCTGTCCCGAAAGTATTCGAAAATAATATTTTGGGACAGTTTCGGGACATTCCATTTTGGAGATGTCGAAGTAGTGTAGCAG